AGTTTTTAGGATTAAAACATGAACTGCTTAGAAATCTGTTGTTGTACCTTACTGGTAAAAATTGACAATCCAGTACAGTGGTACCTCGGGTTAAGTACTTAATTCATTCCGGAGGTCCGTTCTTAACCTAAATCTGTTCTTAACCTGAAGCACCACTTTAGCTAATGGGGCCTCCTGCTGCTGCTGCACCGCCGGAGCACGATTTCTGTTCTCATCCTGAAGCAAAGTTCTTAATCCGAGGTACTATTTCTGGGCTAGTGACGTCTGTAACCTGAAGCGTATGTAACCCGAGATACCACTGTATAGGCATGAAGTCCCATGTAAACTGGAATCAGCAGGGGACAAATAGAAAACATAAAAACCTGCCTACATATTCATCTATCTCAGCATTCTCTACTGCAGTGGTGGTGGTGGGGGGGGATCTTTTCCAGCTCAAGAGCCAAATTCCTTCAGCATAGCCTTCCAGGGGCCACATGCCACTGGCAGGTGAGGGCAGACGCAAAAGTAGGCACAGCTCATTTTACCTTTGTACGGGGGCTCGTTTTTACACTCACACACAAGGCTCTCTCTATCTTCCATCCAGGCAAGGAAGACACATTTTCAGACTTTAAGGGCACACTGCAGCCAGGGGAAAACACAAAAGAATGGCACAAAGGAAGGCTGGTGGGGTGTGTGGCCCTGGGGCCAGATAGAGAGGCCTGGAAGGGCCACGTTTGGCCCTTGGGCCTAAGGTTCCCCACCCTTGGTCTACTGTGATCAGCAGCAGCTCCAGCGTCTTGGGCAGAGCTGTTTTCTGGCTCTGCTCTGCTCCGAGATTGGCAGTGTCTGTTACTAACGGTGGGAACTTCTGCTTTGCCATCTTCTGATAATTGGAGAAAGAGCAAAAAACCAGCAAATGCTTTTTGTTGACACAGAGCACCTTTTCTGGGTATTTTATTTAAATAAAAAAATCGTCCTTGGCATTATTTTTCAACTGGGAAATATCAAAATATTCACAAACTATACCCCAACTTCTTCATTCCCAGATGTGATGGCTAATAGCAGCAGCAGCAACAACAACAACAACTGGTCTTTTTTTAAAGAAAACCCTCAACTTTTAAAAAACGATACTTGCCTGTAGCCATGTAGCCTCGAAGGATTTAAATTATATCTTGTTTTCTTTGTCCTGGCAACCTGTATTACAAATAGGACACATGAATAATTTACAAATGGAAATCTCAGCAATATAATATAAAGCTATACAATGTCAGACAGGCATTTATTGCTGAGAGATAAATGTTTGTTATTATTATCCTTCACATAGGTAATGCTCCCAGAATTCAGAGCAAGGCTAGAAAAAATATTGTGATTCCTACATTTTTAAAAATAATGACTCCGTAGAACAACTCTGCCATAAGAAATGCTGTGTCCAGCATGTAAGATATAGAATCTCAACCACAGAAAATTATCATGTGAGAATTATTCTTTCAGGGCTAATAAATTCATTTTTTTGGATGTGCTTGATTTCAAAATTATAATGAGCACTACAAAAGGATATTTAACAGACATGCCCTGTGAGTCTATATATGTTTACTCAGAAGCAAATTTTATCTGTCTCAACGGGACACGGGACTAAGAAACTGTGCATTACATCCATTGCTCAGTGAGACCTAGTAATTGGGCCCAAGTAATTGAGACCTAGATCCAACTTCTCAAGCAACACATGAGTTCCTTCAAAGAGTGATAAACAAACAAATAATCTCACTGGGCATGTCCAAACGTAGGTCTTTGCACTCCAATCAGAACGCTGTTTTACAGGGGAAAGTATGGTAAATTGCTATAGTTTAAATGGACTGGCATGACATCAAGGCAGTCTGGGGAACGGATTTGGCATTCAGGGCGTCTTGAGGTTGCTAAAATTAAATCAGCACAATCTGTTGTAGCAGTATGTGTTGTTTTGAAAATTATTGAAAAGTAAAGTCAACAGATTATATTCCTCCATATAAAATGTTTCCATGTTATGTGGCGGTAATATTTCATTTCTGTTGACTACACAGGTATCTCCAGGTACATTGAACTTGTCATTTGAACTACAGTTAAATTTCTTGATGGAAACCCTTGGTTCATTTCACTTCTAAGACATTGAATTACACAATGAATCAGTGCAGATGTCCTTCAGCTATATATAGTTATAATTAGAAGATGGATTTTGTGCAGCATACATCAGGTAAGGAGGATATTTTCTGTATAAGTCTGTTTGAGGACTGCAGCCTTGAAATTCTTGCGTAACTTTGTAATGGTGCTTGTTTTCTAATGGTTTGCATTATTGTTTCCAGTTGAAGTGTAAAAACTGGTGTATCATTAGAATGTGTCTTAAAAGGCACTAATACAGTATTTACCAATATAAAATCTGTTTAACCATTTTATTGCATTGCTAATATAGGGTTTTCATTAATATTTTAACACCTACTTGCTCAGTTTACAAGCTGTTGCTTGACAGTTAATGGCATTCTGTTTTCTGTGAAGAGGAAAAGTGCTTGAAACGTAAAAAAGTCAGGAATGCATGCTGACCCTGATCCATTAAAAAAACCACATGAAGCAAATGGCAAATCTCACTCATGCAGGATTGTTGGCACATCATCATACCGCGGTATGCTCCACAGAGGACCTTAAGGTCCATAAATAGCAACACCCTAGAGGTCCTGGGCCCTAAGGAAGTCTCAACCAGAGCCAAGGCCTTTTCAACACTGGCTCTGGCCTGGTGGAACGCTCTGTCTCATGAGACCAGGGCCCTGCAGGGTCTGATTTCTTTCGGCAGGGCCTGTAAGATAGAGTTGTTCCGCCTGGCCTTTGGCTTGGAATCAACTTGATCCCCTCCCCCTCTTTCCTTTCTCCTTCTGTGATGGAACTCCTATTTGAAGACTTCCCTGGTTTTTTTCTGGCCCACGTAGGACCAGTCTGGATAGTTGGCCTTGGTGAAGATTTGACGTTTTCATCCTCAAAAAGTTTTTGATTTGAGTTTCTACTGAAATGAGGCTGCATTTTAATGTTGTACTTAATCTTGTTTTTAAGTTGTATTTTAATCCATTGTTTTTACCTGATGTTAGCTGCCCTGAGCCCGTCTTGGCTGGGGAGGGCGGGGTATAAATAAAAGTTGCTTGTTGTTATTATATCATAATAAATGTTTTTTCTGTTACCAAATGTTAAAAGACAGTGTGTGTTAAAGAAAGTTGGCTTTAAAAAAGACAGTCCTATGCATGTACACTCACAAATCCATCCTACTGAGTTCAATGGGAGTTACTTCAAAGTAAATGTGCATAGGATTGCAGTTCTAACAGCATAAAAAAGTACAAGGTTAAATCACCACCACAACAACAACTAATTGTTATGACTGCTGCTTTCAAGGGGCAACATTATCTGTCTGTTGTAGTTTTAACCTTCCTGAAATGTTATTAAAGTATCAGTTTTTAGCTGGGTTTTTTTATTATTATCCTCGCTGTGTATTTTCTGAGCTTTCGCTGAGACTATAATACTATTTAAAATCCATGAATTATTTTCCTTTAAGTGATAAGTTTAAAAATGTATTCTGTAGTTCTCCTTAGAGAATTGAATAGCCTGAAGATGTTTGCTATATTTATCGTGCTTCCTAGATGGGATGGTGTGTTTGGAAAGTATGTATAGTGTTTGTAGCAGAATATCTTAAGTTTTTAAGTGTGTGCAGAACCAGTTATTTTCTAATTGAATTATTGTTGATTAACCACAGCTTCTGGGTCTGTATGCAATAGTTTAAAATGGCATTTTGATTACCATTTCACGTGTGTATGCATTAAAAAGAAATTCATCCCTAAAGACTACTTAGTCAATGCTTACAACAAAATAAACACACTTTTTAATGTTTTTCATCTAGGAATACTGCTCTGGAAACCATTCCTAAATGAACCAGGTAACCATGATTTTTGGTAATTCCTATCCAAACTGTACCATTAATGTGGAATGGAACCTTAGCACCCTGACTAGAAGTTTGACAGGTAACTAGGTACATAAGAAAAGTGGTTGGGTGTATGTCTCAAGGAAAGTGAAAAACATGAGCTGGTGAAAGTTGCTGCATGTTGAAAATTTGTGTGGACATGAATAATGTGAAGGTTATCTTGTTAAAAGGGTTGTAGCTAAATATTTAATGGAGTTTTGTAGAGGTTGTGCCTTCTAACCTAAGCACAGCTAGCTGTAATTAGTTTATTGTTGATTTAGTAAGCCCTCAGCATGAAAGTCTGACTTAGGAAGTGGTAAAATGTCATAAGCCCCACTGCATTTCACAAGATTTGCGCTAGTCTTTGTTGCCAGATCTAAACAAACAAAAACAGCTGGAACAGAACAGCATAGAGTTCATGCTCCAGGTTGTCTATGATGGATTTGATGCTAAGCAGAGATACCTAGAGGCGAAGCCAATTTTTAAGTGGATCAAATACGGCTTGGTGCTTGCTTGGATTCTTGGGGTGCAATGAATGCTAAAACTGAGCCAGCAAGGCCCTTCTTAGGCTTTTAATTATATCCAGGCGCCATTTAACACAGGTGAGCTACGCCTTGATATTTTTCAGAGACCCGAGTATGCAGTCTTTGTTTATGTTCATTAAAAATCAATGGGAGGCCTTGAGGACGCTGACTGTTTTTTTCTCCTGCCTTAAGACTGCACAAGACAGAAGTCAGCCCACACCTGAATTAGCTTCCCCTGAATTCCCTTCTCCTGTCATGTTCTGTTCGGCCTCACTTCATTGAACATTAACGGGCATGTCTTGTGCCCGGGAGACGAGGGAGGTGACTCTTCCCGGCGCCTGTTTTGAGAGCATCCAAGCAGGCGAGTCGTGAGGCGGGTCAGAAGGCGCCCTGGGGTGGGGGGCTGCGGGTCTCCACACACATACAGCCCAAGCTGCCCCGGTGAAAGAAGAAGAAGCCCCTGAGCAGCCGTCGGAGAAGAGCCGAGGCGCCGCTCCAGACGGTTCGCGTCGGTTATCTTGAGAAGTGAGCGGCGGCCGTTTCGGCCCGCGAGATGGCGCCGCTGAGCCTCCAACTCTTTCCCTCTCTCTCTCCCCCTCTCTCTCTCCCCTCACAGGCTTCCCGGCGCCCGGTTCTGCTGGGCGGCGATACCTCCTCTGAGGCCGCTCGGAGTCGGCTCCGCTCCTGCCAGCAGAGGCGGAACAGCGGCCAGTGGCGAAGTCCCGGGAAGAGAGGACGGGCTCCCCGCCGCGAGGAACAGGAGTGGAGCCGAAGCTGCTGCTGCTGCTGCCGCCTGCTCCTCGCCATGCCCCGCGCTTTAGCCGCCTGCCTTTTCCTGCTCCCGCTCTGCGCCCGGGGTGAGTGGGGCGGACGGAGAGGGGACATTTTGTGGCGCACGGACGGCGGTGGGGAGGAGACGCCGCGGCGCCGCTTCCCCTCTCGGGCAGGCGGGGATCGAGAAGCCGCCGCCGCCGCCGAGCCGCCCTGTGGCTGCCCGCCGCCGCCGCGTCGTGAGGGGAACCGGATACGCGAGGGAGCCTCTCTGCCCCGCTTCCTTGAAGTTTGTTCGTGGGATGGGCGGGCGTCCCCTTGGCGTGTTGTCGAGCGGCAGCCGCTCCGTCCGTCCGTTTCCCTCTCCCTTCAAGATTTAAACCGCTGCCGTCGCCGCACAGAGAGAGACAGCTCTGAGGAAGCGCTTGTTTTCCTGAGGTGGCGCTGGCGGTGGGTGGGCGCTGAGCCCCAGGCGAAAGAGCCCGAGCAGCTCATCTTCAGAAGGGCAGCCGCAAACCCCGGGGCGGCGGGTGGGAGAGCCTTGTAGCAACGACGGCACGGCTTGGTGTGGCAGAAGCGCCTTTCGTGGGCTAGGATAACCCTCTGTTGCCTCGGAGGAAGCGGCGTTTTAAATCCACGAAAAGCTCCTACCAATAGGTCAGGGACCTTATTTTTATTTTTATTTTGGGGGGGGGTTGTGTGGGGCGCTGCCGAGAAAGCTCATGGCATAATAAGATCGCCACCTTCTGCGTCAGGGAGATTTAGTCCAAGGCAAACAGCCAAGCCCTTCCCGATTCCACCTGTAAAGCCAGCAGTAGTGGGCTGTTACAGGGCAGGTATTTTCAACCTGTTCGGACCCACTTTTAACCCAAGCGTGCATTTGGGGACCCATTTCTTCACCCCTTTGCCATATATTTGCATGGGAGTGGTAGTTCTCCTGTTGCCACCCCCTTCAACCCACTAGCCTAGACCAGTGGGATAGGGAAAAATCCACCCTTTTAGCTGTGTTTCTGAGCATGACAGGGTGCATGAAGGCTACACTGAAAGGTCTAAGGTCCGCCAGAACACAGCTGGGCTGTTTTTATCCCCCCTGAGGAAATATGCACTGAGTAGTTTGCTTGTTTTTAAAAGGGTGGCTGATTAATATGTGTTAAGTGATGGGGAGTGTGTGCTGACGATGGTGTTCACAAAGAAGGACCTTTAACCATTATACTGATCCGCTGACAAAAATTACTGCTCCCCAGTGAGCTACATCAATTCCCCTTTCTAATTCCTCCTCACTGGAACTGGTTTTTCAAAGGAGGACCTTCTGATTGAATCGGCTGCACCTTCCATTTATTTGTTTAATATCCTGCCTTTTCCCCAGAACTTAAGGCGGCTCACAAAAATTAAAACAACATGGATAAAACACAGTTAGCTAAAAACATATATGAAGATAATAGTTAAAAAATAACTAAACTGTGATGGAATTAAAACAGTGTAAAAAAATCTATTAAAATATAAATATTTAAAACAGCCCAGCACTATTGAGAGCCCTTTCCTTAAAAGCAGTCAGTTCCCAAAGCATGTTGGAATAAAACAGTCTTCACCTGCCAGTGGAAGAGCAACAAGGAGAGAGCCAGTTTAGAATTCCCTAGACGGAGAGGCTAAAGCCTGGGAGCAGCCCATGAGAAGGCTGCACACCCACAGAATGTGCTGTGAGGATGGTGGGACTGAGAGAAGGGCTTCCTCAGAAGTTCTCAGAGCCTGGACAGGTTTGTATAGCAGAAACCCTTATAGGGCTTTATAGGTCATAACTAGCACTTTGAATTGTGCCCAGAAATAGATTGGGAGCCAGTGGAGCTGTTAAAGCAAGGGGAGTTATGCTTCATTTTCAGCTGCGGAAGCTAGTTGGGGCTATACGTATACAACAGCCTAGTGAAGGAGCCTGCTTCATGAGCAAGAGGGAAGCCCCAGCTGATGCAGCATTTTTGCCTCAGTGACAAAATGTCAAGCCAAGATAACAAGTGAGTTAAGCATGCAGTTAGAAAGCCAGGAGCAGTGTGGGAGCTATCCAGTATATTTTACAGAATGTCTCATGCACAGTTATGTGCCTGTTGGATAGAAGTCATGACTGTGTACTCAGTGCAATGAACTCCTGACCCCCTAGGGAACAAGTTCATTCCCTTCAGGCCAAGGTGGCAGAACTGGAGAAGCTGAGAGAGACAGGTTGGTGGATGAAACTCTTGTAGATGCCATAGCTGCATCCTGTTCCCAGGGTAGCAACCCCTTTGCTGCCATGGAGAATGAGAGTCTTGGGGAAGGAGAGCATCAGTAATTTAGAATGGATCTCATTTTGGGAGATGAGCAGTTTCCCTCTTGTGTCAAGGATAGTCCTCCAAGTTGGAGGTTGGGTGATCCTGGTAGTGCCTGATTAAATCATTAGGGGTGCAGATAGTTGGCCTTGTGATGGGCATGCTGACTACATGTCAACTTGCCTGACTAAAAGGAGCAGACTCTTCCTCAGAATTGCTATGGGTGATGATACTAGGCCCTAAGAGTAATTTACTACCTGACCAAATGGTCCAGGGTGGATGGAGAATGAAATCAATGAGGCAACCAAATGAGGATGTGTTTTAGTAATGGGTCACTTCAGTTATTTTCACATAGACTGGGTTCATATGTTTTCCAGTGATGACAACGAGCTAAATTTTCTAAGTACTGTTAATGATCACGCCCTACAGCAGTTGGTCCTGTAACTGACCAGAGGGATGTCACCCAGGACCTGGGGCAAGATGTGTTGTTGAACTGATTAGGAACAGTAACCACAGTGCTATCAAATTCAACATGTATGTAAGTGGGCAATCGCCAAGAAAATTGGAACACAATCACATTTGACTTAAAAAGATGAAACTTCCCTAAAATGAGGAGATTGGTAAAAAGGAAAGGGAAAGGGAAGATAGATGTCTCTAGAATGCTTGAGGGTTGTTCACCATAACAGAAGTTCAGTCTGATTGCATCTTTCTTGACTGCAGGTCAAGAAAGGTACCACCAGGGACAAGCTGAGTAAAGGAAGCTGTTGAAGGCAAAAAGGTCTTCACAGCAGTCTTTGCATCTGTATTCACAGTGGAATATGCAATTAGTCTCTAGGATTAGCCTTTGTGCCAGAGGACTGGAAGCGGCATCAATTTTTAAAAAGGCATCCAAAGAAGATCTGGGCAAGTCTGTTGTGGGAAAACTGGCAGAAACTGTTATTAAAGATAGAATTACCAACCATGTAGTATAACAGGTCTTGCTGAAGCAGAACTGGTATGGCATCTGCAAGGATGTCTTCTCGCACTAACCTTTTAGAGTTCTTTGAGAGTCTCAAAAAGCATATACATGGAAATGATTCAGTCAATAGTGTGTATTTTGACTTTCAAAAAGCTTTTGATAGTTCCGCACGAAAGACACTTGAGTAAGCTTAGCTGTCATTGAATATGAGGAAATCACCGGTTATGGATCAGTAACTGCTTTAAAGAACAGGAAGCAGAGAGCAGGAATAAATGGCCAGTTCTTCCAATGGAGGGATATAGAGATTGAGACCTGTGCTTTTTAATTTGCAGTTCTAAGTGATTTAGAGTTAGGGATGAGCAGTTAGGTAGTCAAGCTTGCTAATGATACCAAATTGTTTATGGTGGTTAAAGCAAAAAGGGGATTGATAGGAAATCCCAAAGGATATCTCCAAACTGGGTGCAATATGGCAAATGTGTTTCAATGAATACAAGTGTAAAGTGTGAACCAGCTGTGATTGCCCAGGAATGAGATCTTAGTGGTGGAGAGCTCAATTAAGGTGTTGACCTAGTGTGTGACAGCTGTAAAAAAAGGCAACTTTCTAGCTAGGGAAAGGGCTGAAAATAAAACTGTCAATATCTTAATACCATTATACAAACCTATGGTAAGACCACACTTGGAATACTGTGTACACTTCTGGTCATCTCATGAGATACCATAGAGCTGGAAAAGGTTTGTAAAAGGGCAACCTAAATTATCAAGAGTCACTCCCATATGAGGAAAGGTTACAATGTTTGGTTCTTTTTAGTTTAGAGAAAAGTCCAGTAAGGGGGGGGGCATGTTAGCAGGAATAAGCATACAGTATACATGATGCGCAGGAAGTAGATAAGGAGAACTCTTTCTCTTATATTGCTTGAACTCGGGGCCATCCAATGAAGCTGACTGATGGAAGATTCAGGACAAACCAAAGAAAGTACTTATTTACATAGTACATGGTAAAAACTATGGAATTCCTGCCACATGATGTAGTGATGTCCGCTAGCTTGGGAGGGCTTTAAAAGGGAATCGGACAAATTCATGGTGGATAAAGCTTATCAGTGGCTGCTAGTCATTATTACTATGTTCTACCTCCATTGTTGGAGTCAGTATGCCTCTGTATACCAGTTTCTGGGAATCACTAATAGGGAGAGTGTGATTGAGCTCATGTACTGCTTGTGGCCTTCCCTAGACATCTGGTTGATCTTTGTGAGAACAGGATGCTGAACACGACAAGCCTTTGACCTGGCTCCACAGGTCTTTTATTATGTTACTAACACCCTTGGCTATTTAGAATCATTGGACACAAATTACTGACAGGTGTTTGAGCATAAAGGGTTCTTGTGCCCTTTTCAGTGTGGATCAAATCACACATTGCTCTTTTCCTAGATGCTGAAGTGAAAACCATAGTTTTACATGTGGCATCAACTAATTAATTCTCCCCTAGCATATGTTACACACAGAGATTGCATGTGGCATTAATCTATGGCATTCATATGTGTAGTATGAATATGATATAATATTTAGATTTCTGAGTTTAGTTCTTTCAACTCAGTTATAATGCTAGCAGATCTTTTTCGGCTAGGTTACAGGCTGTTGCAGTTTTGTGCAGCAGCAGTCAGGAGAATTGATATTAAAACTTCACAGTAAAAGAATGATTTATTTTGCTGTTTTACTGCTCCTGGCTGCCTCTGTATCAAAGATCTTGAACTTTCTGAGTAATAACAGCAGGGAAGAAGTAAATTGTGAAAATATATCAGTAATAGGTTTTGGGTGTTGTGAAAGTAGATTAAAAAAT